GCGCGCGCCTCGACCAGTTCGCGGTCGAGCCTGAAATAAAGATTTGAGGAAGTCGCGTGGAGAGCACGGGAACGAAAGAAAGAGAGAGGAAGAGAAATAGAGAAAGAGGGTAAATGAGAGAGGAGGAGGGGGGCGCCTGGCCGTGTTGCACATACCAGTCGGTCCACCTCGCCTCTGAAGTTCGCCTCGGCACGCCGAACTAACGTCGACGAGGTTCAACCGTTGATTGGCTCTCGCCGAGATCGACGTCAGACGCCGACTCGCCAATTGCGCGCCGCCGTATGTGCCGCGCATGCGCACCGCTTTCAGCCTCGACAGTCGCGCTGGCATTTCAGCTTCGACCGCGCGTTGAACGACGTTATTACAGTTTCGTGTTATAATCTTCCACTGTCAATTAGTCCTTTTTTATGTCCATATATGGATGATCGAGTCTTTTAATTATTTTAACACGTTGATTGCCACGCAAATTTTATATATTATGTCCTGGAAGTAATAAATTGAAATATATTATATTATAACATTTAATTTTTGAAAAATATATTGTATTTGCGCACTTTCTTCTGACGATGTTATCTAAATCATTCACATTGTTGAAAATTGTTTAGTCCATGAAATTTATCTTATTTGAACTGTTCGGAACAATTTAGTTCTAAATTTAGTTCTACACAATTTAGTAACGTGGGTCACCGGTGGTCATCGTGGTAGTCAACGTGTTATGGTCACATTTTGCGCTTAGAAAATTCAATTACATGATCTAAAAAGAAAAGGAAATTTTTTATTTGAAGTGATTAACCCAGCTGCGCATTTTATATCATTTCTAACCTAGTCCTGTTTTTTTAACGCTAAGAAATGTTTTACTTTAATTTCCTTTTGATTTTCAATTTCAATTTTATGCTGCAGTTTTGCTTAAAATATTATAAGTCTCCTTGCTTGTTGAAGTAAGAGTAAAATTGGCATATAAAAATTCGAGAATCACAGCAAGGTTAAAAATTAGATAAAGTATTGTAGATAATAAAAATAAAAGTAAATAATAGTAAGTAATAGAAGATATTTGAAATCTGCAAAATATGAGATACTTAAAAGAAATGTTTAGATAACAAGTGAATATTATTAAAAAATGTCAACTTTTATAGATATTGTCAACATATTATATAAATAAAAATGAAGAAATTATTCTAACAAAAATATACCAGATGAGGCTTTTGAAGCATCAACATATGACTATTCTTTTTATTTCAAATGTAAAGGATTTCCAAATAAAGCATAACATTCAGAATAATATACATTCTTTTAAGAATATAGGAAAGTAACCGAAATATTGCTGGTCATTCATAAACGTTTCGCCCATAAGTTGTAAGTCGGTTCATGTCGGAGTCAATGTAAATTATAACCACAAAAGTTCAGATAGCTATGCGTAAAAGTGGCATCTTTACACTTTATTAATATTTCGCCAGCCAGAAATAACGACGCGGTTAAAGAATTTAACCGACTACACTGTGTCACCTGTGGTACTCAAAGTGTACGTTGGAGGATGAAAATAACGAATGCATTATAAACGGTACCCCATTCGAACTACGATTATCGATCGATACATGTACATTATTATACATGTGTTCTATCGATCGTTCGAGTAATAAATCAAAGTCAAATATGTGCCGTTTCTAACATAACAACATAAGATAAAATTCTACCGAGTAAACTGTCAGACGTAAATATATTCGATATTTGATTTTGATTATCTGCGATTAGAGTTCGAATTTGATTCGATTAATCAGATTTTCATACATAGCACAATCGATTTCTTAAATATCGAAAGATTTCGATGTCGATACAAAAGATTTTGATTACATAGTTGTATCATCGAATTTTGATTTATCCAAGTTCCGAGCTTAAGATCCTTAAGTCATTGAGTATGAGATTACATAGACATGATACCACGCATAATGGAAACGTCACTTTTACGTGTCAATAGCTTGACGCGAGTACAGTTCTCCTACCAGTATAATGTCACAGCTGAACTATCAATCCGTACATGTATATATATTAGTCTCATTTATCCCTGCCTAATCCGTTATATACACATACAATGCCAGATTTTTAATCCCATACGTTTTGTTTTATTATGTCTATCCAACATATGTTACACGCATAATATACAAACATTAAACATTCATTGAGTACATCAGTCTACAAAAACATGAACATTATTTATATTTATCCAAAAAACTTCCACAAATGCCGTTATGCAGATCATTTCTTATTAATCAAAGTTTGTCAACCGTATTAGTTAATTTGAGGTTATGTTATGTTAAATTCTCGTCATTGCGGTTATGACAGTGAATCGTTCGATTGAAAAGGAATTAACTGATGAAAATCAGGGAGAGATCATGCTTTTATAGTGACAAATGGAATGCTAGGAGAAAATTGTTGACGCTACCAGGCAATATTCTAACTTGTATGGGATCGGTATTTGAAATTGACAAGACGATTGATCGAATATTGCGGCGAATACGTCGAATTACGGGGGCAGACAAATACAGAGGCCATATCACGGCGGATGCCATCGGTAAACTCGAAAATCCAACTCGATAAATATTAAACGAGCCGAGACGCTTGATGGCTGCTAGCGACTAGCTTCCATCAGTTATTCGCCAGCCATCCGACAGCCGTGCGAAATGAAATTGAATCGAGGAGCCACATTCGAGTCGCTTGAACACTTCGAATCTGATTACGTAATATTTCAAATCAATTTCGATAGATTGGGGGGGGGGGGGTTTTTTCAAAA